CAAAAATGCTGTTTCCGAGGCGAGGTTGGATGTAGTTCAGAAATAGATTCATTAGAATCAATGCTTAAAGTAAACATTTAATTCTCTCTGTAGACCAAACATGCTTAGTATCCCACACATTTTAATAATAATAATTTATTTTGGTTACTTTTACATCTATATATGGGTAAGCAAGTATTTAATAAATAAAATTATTTTAAACCACTTGACTTAACCAAATGACTCTAGCTGCTGGGAAAAAACATGTAAAATAACAGATTTTTTTTTTTTTACAGTGTGGGTGAACATACTACCTTGATGTCCAACAAAGGCTGCACAAGAGCTCATTTGATGGCACATATTCTGTCCTGTCTACATCTCTGACAACCTGGAAGTGCTTCAACATCCGTGAGTAATAAATCTTCATATTATCATGCATTCAGGATTTCTGTAAGCCTATCCTTAATGTTAGTTTGTAATCAGCAGTGACTGTTTAAAAAAAAATTGGTATTTAAATTATTCTTAACGTTTTACTGATGCTGTGCACAGTAACGGCATGATGATTTAATTTGAGGAAATGTCACTGGTGAGGTGTAATAATATTTATTTGTCTCACTGACATGCCATCACTGGATATTGAAATACAGTAATATGAATTGACCGCAAAATATTATCACAAACATTTCATGAAGTAGACTGCTTGACTACTCTTCAGTTCTCTGCTCAACTTAAACACATTTCGTTGTGTTGCTGCGCTTCTCGGCAGATTTTGCCAAAAATTAATGCTTAGTGATTACTTTGTTTTATGCGAACCAAATGTCAGTAAATTATCATTAGCATTATTTTTTTTAAATCACCCACAGCTTTCATGTTCTCTAACGTAATCTTGTCTGTAAGTTAGAAGTAGATTTTCACATGTTAAAAGCTTAAAAGTACTGGATTAACATTAGTCATGTTAAATTAGATTATTTTATTTATTTATTTATTTATTTTTAATATGTAGCCTCTTAAGGTCAGAATGAACTGTGTTCACCCCTCTTAAATTCGTGGAAGCGCTAGTAGTGTGGTCATGGAATCAGATATTCAAGCTATACAGAGTCAGACATTAAGTTAAGATGAGACTTAATTTTTTTATATACCTGTGTGGACACTTGACTAGTGTTGACTTGACTGATCTTTTCCCCATTAACGTTAGTGTAATTGTAAATAGACAACAATCTGTATTTTGCCAACAAAAACGATAAAAAAACAGTGTTTTATATATATATAAAACAGCAGTGCGGTGTTTGGTTTCTAAATGAGTAAAATAATTTGAGGCATGATTAGTTTTTACTTCAGTGATTGATTTTGCTTGTCATTTTTGCAGGATCATCAGAAGTGCTCCTGCCCTTTTTCACTGTCCCTTTTTCCACAACATCATTTGGCCTTCATCATTTCCTGTCTTGTAGCAGTATTTTCACCTGTTTTTAAAATTGTAATACTTTTTGATACATTAATTGTTGACTGGTTTTAATTATCAATTGTTCATTAGTGTTCTGTTGCTTTGTTATATTGAATAATTGCTACTGTTTCAGTATGGTTTACACAATAAACTTTTATTGTGAAGTTAAAGTTTCAGTTTCTTTATTTTTCTTGTATTTCTTGAACAGTTAAAATAACATTTGTGCAATTTTTGAATATTTTTGCTCATTATAAAGTAGCACTATTAAATACAATAAAATAACATTTAATAACTGTAAAATACTATACAGTAATAATGAAAGTAACGTTAAAATACCGTAGTTCTGCATGGTAAAAATATACAGTAAAATACTGTTTTCAGTTTTGCAGTATGTGTATCACTACTGTAATTGGTATTACAGTAAAAAAAGAAAACAGTAAAATGATGTATTACATTTGACAGTAAATGTAATACTAAAGTAATTAGTAATACAGTAATGTTACTGTTTTATGAAATACAGCAGCTACTGGATAATTGTTGCCAGTAACTTACTGTTAATTTAACAAGAAATCGTTTACAGTGTGCAAAAGAATTTCTAAGGTTAAAATTCAATATTGGTGACTCAAATGTATGCCAGTTTTGGAATGTAGATATAGAAACAACTGAACACTTGTTTTTCCAATGTAATGAGGTACAAAGATTTTGGGATGAAGTTTAAGTTTGGATACAACATAAAATATCTATAAGACTTTTCTTCTCATGGGAAATTATTAAGCTTGGCCTAATACTTATGGATAAAAAGATATCTTATATAATGAATAATTTGCTTTTGTTATTAAAGATCCCATATTATATATGAAATAGGGTCATATTTTAGTTGTAAGGGTCTCCAACAACAGTCTAATATGCATGCAAGGTTAAAAAACACTTTCATCGTCCAGTGATTCATTTGTTCCCAAACCCCTCCTTAGCCTGAAGCTAATCTGCGCAGATTGGACCAATGACAGTCTGTTGCGATTGGTCGACACTGACTGCCTTCAGCGAGAGACAGAGTGAAATGCCCAGCAGCTAATCAACATTATAAAAGTAGTCACAGTGCATACAACCTCGATAGTGTAAGGCATGGATTTTAGCTGCCAGTGGGTGAATGTAAATACAGACGATGGACTCGAAAATACTGACTACCAACTATTTTATTGAGCAAAAACTCCAAGAACTGGCGAGGAGATCTCCTAGCTTGTCAAACTCTGCTCTTTTCACAAACACACACACACACACACACACACACACACACACATTACCCTCCTCCACGGAACGTAAACAAAACGGCACGCATTGCATTTTTAACGTGGCTTTGCACGCGATATGAGAATATAGCGAGTTAACCTGATACAGTACACGTGGTTATAAGTAACGAATCACAACTAAATACATTTGAAAGCTAGAGAAAATAAGGCAACAACTTTAATCGTATGTACATACACCTGAGAAATGGAGGAAGAAAATTATCCATGTCCTGACATTTTCATCAGTACTCTTTACTGATCCTTTCTTTACTGATCCTTTCTTTAACTCTTTACTGATCCTTTCTTTAACTTGTAATGCTTCAAAGAACAAAGTATTCTTTGTAGCATGTAGTTTTCAGAAGTTTGCAGTAGTTTCCAACTGCTCAAGGGTTATAATGCTGACGTTTAATCTTTGGGTAGAGACTCAATAATATTCGTCTGCAGTGTGACTTCAATCTACCGGCATGTTTGTGTGTGTGGGTTTCTGTGTTAGAAGGCGGGGCCGCAGGTTTCAAATCTCCCATGTTTGCGTGTGAATAACTTGATTTCGTTATTACGTCATGGCGAAACACCTAATGACTCGTTATCAAGACGACTCATTTGAAGCACTATGAGTCATCTGTTTTATAGATGAATCAACAGTTTTAAACACTGTACACTTAAAGATTTAAGCCTTAGCTGGATATTTAACTTCACATAGAGCTGTGTTACACACTAAATGGAAGGGCATTTTCAAAAACCCATACTATGGGCTCTTTAAAATTCCATATTCACAAATGTAAATTTTTAAAAATTCCCCTAAGACTAGTGGTGTTTAAAAAAGAATTTGTGATGTATATGAAGACATTAAGAGAGATGAAAAGCCAAAAAGCAAAATATTTATACTCATCATTGGATGATTTTGTTTTCATATTTTAAGAACTTTTACTCCCCTGCTACCTAAGTTTCTTTAGCATTTACTTTTTGTTAAATTGTGTTATTTTATTTATTTATATATGTTGTGTCATTAACGAGAATGGAAAGATTGTGAATGTATGCAATTTGATTGTTAACTCAGTCTTTTGTGTAATTCTAAAAAGTATTAATGCCATTCTGTTACTGTTCAAGCATTGTTAATAATAAAAAAGCGTGTAGTTGGGTCTCTGGACCTGCAGCTTCCCCTTGCTCAACAGTGTAGGAAATTGATGAGTTGTCAAAAAATTCTTGCTAAGTTAACAAGTTCCCCAAGTCATCAAATAAGGAAAATAAATTTAATATATTTCTGTCGTACCAACAACAACAACAACAAAAAAAAAATAATAATATAATATATATATAAATATTTTATGTGGAAAAAGTTTACATATTTTCCAAGAGGGCGATGCAGTGGCGCAGTGGGTAGCACGTTCGCCTTAAAGCAATAAAGTCGCTGGTTTGAGACTCGGCTGCGTCAAAGACATGCAGTATAGGTGAATTGGACAAGCTAAATTGTCCGTAGTGTATGTGTGTGTGTGAATGTTTTTTTGTGTGTCTTCTTATCCCCTTTGTCTTTAAGTGAAATTAATGCTTTTTTAGTTTATGAGACTTATATATTTCCAAATAAATAAATAAAAAAAAAATATTTAGGCTATATCTTTCTTGATCTTATTATTAACAGTTAAGGACAATAAAGGATACTAGCTGGGAGAGACCTTCTGCTTTTAATATAAGAATTCTCCCATAAATAAATAGATCCCTCTGTAGCCATAGATTAAGGATATTCTGAGTTGTTTTATTCTAAATTAAATATTTAGTTTATGAAAAATGTATAGTTTTGTTTTTGAAAAAGTTATTTTTATTAATATATTAATCCAAAAATATAACTTTCTTTCGCTGGTTTACAATTTAACAGCAAGTCATTGCAGTCGCACAGAATTACAATTTCACATTTATCTAAGTTCGATTAAAGACCTGATCATCCGAAAATGTTTTATTGATTTTATGGCTTCGGTAATTTGAAAACTGTCTTGTAAAAATAAAGTAGTGTCGTCTGCCAGTTGAGAAAATTGTATTCTCTTAAAAATATCTATGCCTTTTAAGTTTAGGGTATTAATTAAAGTTATAGAAGGTAATTCTGTCTCTAAAATGAAAAAAGGAGGGGATAGGACATCCTTGTTGGACACCTGTATATCTTTGAGTAGTAAACCAACTTGATACATCTTTATAAAACATCTCAATTGTGTTAGGCAATGTTGAGCCAAAGCCAACTTGCGACCTTATCCCCAGAGCGAGACTGACGCATAGTGACGCAAGCACACTGCTCAGTTTTGTATCTTTATGTTACCGTAGTAACTGTAAACACTGGAGCGTCATACCATACTAGCGACACCCGACATCTCGCTAAATTTGTATTTTTCAACAGATTGCAGACTAAATAATTTTGCCAGATGGCTACAGTAGCGGCACCGTCTCATGTGTTCGGACTCCGGGCAGGAGTGAAGAATAATTTGTTGTATCTTGATGAACAAACCATCATATTTCCGTGTGGAAACAACTGTGTGCGCTATAACATCGATCAGAAATTCCAACGATTTATTCCAGGTAAGTTAACTTTACTCCAATATTTCATTATAGTAAACAACACATAGTAAACTTAATACACATACACTTAATGCATGTATTATAGACCTATTTATCTTACATGCAAACTATTAACGTTAGAAGCTATCTACGACAATCACATTGCTGCATAATAATTCAAATTAACGTTAAGGTTAGTCCTAAAATGAGAGAATATTGTTAAACGCTCACTTTTTGTAACGGAAAATAAGGTTAATTATCATTCATTCATTAATTTTCTTGTTGGCTTAGTCCCTTTATTAATCCGGGGTCACCAAGATTAATTATCACCAGTTGTCTTGAAAATAATTAACGTTATAATATTGGGGGATTACATTGTCCTAAAATATTGCTTGTGTTTAAGCAAAACAAAACAACTTCTTTTAAATTTTGAAAAAAAAAAAAAAAAATAGAGTCTTATATAAATATTCAGTACTAATTTAAATATGCAGTATTATTAATATTACTAATAATAAAATGTTAATAGCCTACGTCTGATGATCAGTGTCTTTTTATAACTTATGCTTCAGTGTCAGATCCCTGAAGCATATAAAAAAAAAACTAACAAATTAAAGCATGATGTTATATTTTACTGTATGTGAATGTAAATAAATAAATGATTTTACTTAAAATTTCAGTTGGAATTGATTACACATGTAAATCTACAAGTTTAAATTTAAAATGATTGTAATTTAATAAAGACGAGGCAGTAGCGCAGTAGGTAGTGCTGTTGCCTCACAGCAAGAAGGTCGCTGGGTCGCTGGTTCGAACCTTGGCTCAGTTGGTGTTTCTGTGTGGCGTTTGTATGTTCTCCCTGCCTCCGGGTGCTCTGATTTCCCTCACAGTCCAAAGATATGCAGTACAGGTGAATTGGGTAGGCTAAATTGTTCGTAGTGTGTGTGTGTGTGTGTGTGCATGTTTGTGTGGATGTTTCCCAGAGATGGATTGCGGCTGGAAGGGCATCCACTGCATAAAAACTTGCTGGATAAGTTGGTGGTTCATTCTGCTGTGGCGATCCCGGAATATTAAAGGGACTAAGCCGACAAGAAAATGAATTAATGAATGAATGTAATTTAATAAAATATACACTCACCAGCCACTTTACTAGGTAGACATGTCCAACTGCTTATTAACGCAAATTTCTAATCAGAAAGAGGGTTTAAGGCTGGTCTGTATTTTAGAAATCTACTGGGATTTTCACGCACAATCTTCAGGGTTTACAGAGAATGGTCCTAAACAGAGAAAATATCCAGTGAGCGGCAGTTCTGTGGGCGCACATGCCTTGTTGATGCCATAGGTCAGAGGAGAATAAACAGACTGGTTCAAGTTAATAGAAAGGCAACAGTAATAACCACTCAACACTTTGAACCTTGAGGTGGATGGGCTTCAGCAGCTGAAGACCACACTGGGTGCCAGTTCTGTCTGCTAAGCACAGGAAACTGAGGTTATAGCAGTTCACACTCTGGATGCGCAGCTCGGCGCTGCAACACGACGCGCACATGACAGTTAAAAGTATCGCACACCAGATGCGCACATTACAATAGTATCTGGAGGCAGCCTTTATGATGGAAGCTGAGATTGCATCACTCAGCGATGCAATGTCAGACACAATGCACTCATTGGAGTTTTCAGATTGCACTGCACCGAGTCTGTAGCCAGACCCCTCTCGCACATTCACATGATATTTAACATGAAACTATTTAGATGGCACTCTGTGGCGCGGCAGAAATATGAACAGCATGGCTGGGCACCACGGACACCGCCGGTGTGTGTACCCTGATAGAAACCTATGTTTAGAATTCTGAAATGCATGTCGTTGCATGGTGTGGCGTGGCTGCGTTCACACAGGCTCACCAAAATTGGTCAGTGGAAGATTGGAGATTGTTGCATGGTCTGATGAGTCTTGATTTCTGCTGTGACATTTGGATGGTAGGGTCAAAATTTTGCATCAACAACATGAAAGCATGGACTCATCCTGCCTTGTATCAATGGTTTTAGGCTGCTGGTGGTGGTGTAATGGTGTGAGAAATATTTTCTTGGCACACTGTGGGCCCACTAGTCCCAATTGTGTCAATAGCCCCTTTCACACAGTGATACCGGTAAATATCCGGAAAATTTCCGGAAAGACTTTACCGGTATATTGAAAAAAGCGCTGTTCACACAGGCGAGGACGTTACGGAAATTTTCCGGAAAAGAGCATTCACACATCCATTCCAAAATACCGGTAAATTCTGACATCATTCACCACATATGAGCTTTAAACGGCTGCGCTTGTATTTGTAAACATTTGACTAAATTACAAACTCTGTGGATGATCAATATTGTGAATAACTTTCTCAGGATCACTTTCGCATGTCGAGATGTTCATAATATGTGCGTGTGCTGGCGCTCACAGGCTGTTTCACAGGCACACGAACGTAAACAAACAACGGCTTATCATAAGCATCTCATCGATGATTATTTACAAAGTTGGCATTAAGAAGAACATATAAACGTGATCTGACTAACTTCTAGCAGCTAAATGTGTCTGGAAAAATATTCAAAGGCTTTTATCCTCACAAACCGCGTGGACGTAAATGCGTCTGACTGTTGTGATTGGCTAAAGCAGGCGTCTCACGTCAGCACGTTCTAGACGTGCACGCGCTTATTACGGGAATCTTCCTTCTGCGTTCACACAGCGCAGCATTCCGGCAAATTGCCGGTAATGTTACAACTTCTCTTTCCGGAAAATAGCCCGAACGAATTTACCGGTATTTTCAAAAAGGACCTGTTCACACATACAACCTTTCCGGAAAATTGCCGGCAATTTTCCGGAAAGGTCTGTATGTGTGAAAGGGGCTAATGCCACAGCCTACATGAGTAATGTTGCTGACCATATCCATTCCTTTATTACCACAGTGTACCCATCATCTGATGGCTACTTCCAGCAAGATAACGCGCCATGTCATAAAGCGCAAATTATCTTAGACTGGTTTCTTAATCATGACAATGAGTCAACTGTACTCAAATGGCCTCCACAGTCACCAGATCTCAATCTAATAGAGCGCCTTAAGGATGTGGTGGAATGGGAGATTTTGCCGCCAAGTTTGCAGCAATTGTGTGGATATGTTAATATAGACCAAAATCTCTGAGGAACATTTCCAGTACCCTGTTGAATGTATGGATTATCCATGAAGGATTAAGGCAGTTCTGAAGACAAAAGGGGGTAAAATCTGGTACTAGTAAGGGGTACCTAATAAAGTGGCCAGGGAGTGTATTTCTCGTCTAATGCAGAAAATGTTTATATGATATGAAAATACCATAGAAGGCAAATAGCAGATTTTAAATACACAAATTAATAAACACTGCAAATTATGTTTATGCAAACTATGTTTGAGATAAAATGTGACCTGGCCTCACATATTTTAGATCATCTGATTGCTGTATTTAACTCTATGGTAACCAGCATTTGTTTCCTGATCACAGGTACAGAGAGAAGTCAGGGCATGCATGCTTTGGCCATCAGCACAAACAGGCGCTATCTGGCTGTGTCTGAATGTAGAGAGAAAGCCACCATCACTGTGTTTGATTTAGAGCAAGAGCAGAACAGAAGGAGGAAAGTGTTGACCGGAGGAGAGATGGTGGTGGATGAGTTTGTCTGCATGGCCTTTTCTCCTGACTCAAAGTATCTGATTGGTCAGGCAGGTGGGCCAGACTGGACTCTTTTTCTCTGGATGTGGGAAAAGAAGAAGGTCATGGCTACTGTAAATATTAGCAACAATGGGCCCATCAACCAGGTAAATATGCTTATAAAAAAGTAGGGCTTGAAATTGGCATTCTTTTTAATTTCTATCATTTTAGACGGGGTCGGGCCGGGCTTTACTTGGGCAGTAAATGAACAGTTATGTGATGCATTTCGATTAGTGCGAGAAAGTAATTAAATGTTTCAAAGGTGAAACAAAAGATGACTGAGAAGTCAAAAAGAACGACTTTTGACTGTGGTCAGGCCAGCCACCAGTTCAGAAAGAACCTATCATTCTAGCTGCAAAGGTCTTTCAGCGGTCACTCATACACTGGGTATTAAGTAAGATCGCTAAACAGCACAGCAAGCTGACAGGGAAGATGATGAGGCCACTCGCTACATTGTAACTGCTGTCATGAAAAATTAAATGGACGTTCTTGGTTGGTAAAAGATGAACAAACAATCCTACCCATGAGTTGCAAAATTTGCCAGATCAGAACAATGGATCTCGGCCTGTAGCAGCAGCAGTGAAAGGGTGTTCAGTGCTGCTGGACGCACTATCCTAAGCGCAGGACTTCGCTAAAATCATTTACAGTGGATTCCATAATGTTTCTCCACAAAAAAACACGTAGCATAATTATGGTGAGTAAAGGGTTTTTTAAATTATCATTAAATTTTATTTAAACCATACAATCATAATGTAGGACAGAGTATACAGGCTAATGTTGGCATTAGGTAATTCTTTTAATATTCAGCTTCACCATCGCCTTAATGCCAGTTTGTGAAGAGAAGTGGCGAAACAAATCTTGCAGAGCCTTCGTCTTAATTTCTTTATTGGTAAAATTAGAATTTATTTTAATTTAATTTGTTATCAAAGACTTATTTTATAGGTGTGTTGGCCAATTTAAAGGCTAAATGTATGTACCTCGCCTATTTAGAGAGCTAGAATTTAGGATGTTACAGAGGACTTTCAACTTTCAAGTGGCCTATAGCCTACGTCTTTTACTTATAAATTATGTTAAAACATATAAATGACTCGTTGAAAAAAGGCAAAAGAGCTGTGTTCCTGTGAACATTTAAATAATGTTGGGCTATAAACAGGTTCGGGCTTTTTAAAGCTGTCAATCACAGTACACCTGTCGGACTCGGGCCGAATTCTGTCTTGCTTGGGCGCTATCGGGCCTAATTTTTATGGCCCGATTACATCACTACATTGAATTACTCCGCTCACATACAGCAACAAGGAGAGGACACTCTACAGTTTAATAAATATTCCTGCTTTTGGGCAACATAATGTACTTTTTTGGGGCTTTTTTGTCGAGAATGTAGTTGTATAGACTGCAAATATGCAGTTTATTTATAAGGATAGTGCCTATTTTTAAATATTTTCAATTTTTAAGAGACACCGCATCGACAGCCATTAGCCTGTCATTGAGCAGACAAAAATATGTTTGACATTGTCCATTAAGGGGTAGACAGAGACTGCATCTTACAGGCGAGGAAAACCCCAGCGTAATTTTAAACTACAGCTGATCAAATCATTATAAAACTGGTAAGTGGCTTTTTAAGTCGATCTCTCTCTTTTGTATTTTTTAGTGCTGTATTTATACCACAGTAATTGTAGTGTGTTGAGTGTGAGATGGGACTCATCTTAAAGTCTTAAAACTGGAGATGGCCATGTGTTTCTAATGCTTCTCCTGTTTTCACTATTGCAGACTAGTTCAGTAAATAGAAAGAAAGAAAGAAGAAATACCCGCATGTATTTTGCATTTTTCCTCATCGCAACCTGTAATATACTGTTTTCAGTATTCTGGTAGTGATTGCGTTGCTTTGGCTTGTTCGGGGCTAATTACTGGGAAATCTCTGTAGACTGAGATGGCATTTCATGCCGTTCAACCTTATAATCTTAAAATGTGAGCAAATACACTTTTTTTTGTCATCACTTTACACATTACCGCTAAGGAATCATTCAAATACTACCTCTAAAGTGAAGTTGGTGAGTTAGTACATCTCTGACATCAGCTGCGTATGTGAATGGATGGCAGAAGAAAGTAGTTCCTCTTACAAAAGGGTTTTGAGATTCTCTGTGTTTGATTTTCTTTTTGATACACACGATTATGCCGTCAAATTGTTGTTTAATTGCAAAATCACACTTGTAGCATTGCTACTCTTGTGATATTGCTCATTTATACAACAGTTCTGGAGTGCGTTTCCTAAAAAACGATGTAACTCGCAGCTAAACTATCATAGTATGATGCATCGTTTGGGGAACACACCCCCCTAAAAAATAATCCCACATCAAATTAAATCAAATAATAATTATAACATACATACAGGAGTAGGTCAGTGACATCAATGGGAGACCAAAAATACCGCCTCACTCCTCCACAGGGGCACGCGACAAAGTGTCCGCAAAGATATTCTTAATTCCCTTAATGTGTTTAATCGTCAAGTTTGGTTGTAAAAAAAGGATCCATCGCATTAAGCGTTGGCTCGGACTCTGCAATGGATGAAGGAATGTCAAAGAATTATGATCCGAATAAATAACCACCGGGGAACCTCCTCCCACATACACATCAAAGTGTTGAAGTGCCCAGATAAGCGCCAGTGTTTCCTTCTCAATAACAGAATAATTCAGTTGATACGAATTAAATTTGCATGAGAAATAACTTATTGGATGACTTAATCCATCAGAATGAGTCTGGAGAAGGACCGCTCCGGCTCCGACGTGACTTGCGTCAACTTGGATCTCAAAGGGAAGACCACTTTGGGGCGCTGCCAACACAGGAGTAGCAGTTAATAACAACTTTACATTCTCAAAAGCTTTTTGGCAATGTGGATTCCAATCAAACTTTGCAGAGTTCTTTAATAGATTAGTCAGCAGACAAATGAGCGATGAAAAGTTTGGGCAAAAGCCACGATAATAACTGGCCATTCCAATAAACCGCATCAGCTCTTTTTTGGTACACGGAATAGGGAAATTATTAATCACGCTGATTTTAACGCAAAGGGCGCACCATACCCTGGCCCACTTCCTTGCCCAAATAAGAAACAGTTGCCCGTGCAAATTCACATTTAGCCAAGTTCACGGTCAAATTAGCTTCAGCTAAACGTTTAAATAATTCTCGCACCCGTCTCATATGTTGATCCCAGTTTTCGCTGTAAACTATAACGTCATCCAAATAGACCGCGCAACCCTCTAAACCAGATACTACACGGTTCATTAACCTCTGAAATGTCGCAGGAGCGTTTCGTAACCCGAAGCTCATAACGGAGTAAGAATATAGCCCTGAAGGAGTTACAAAAGCAGTAATTTCCTGTGCCCTAGGACTCATTGGTATTTGCCAGTAACCTTTGAGTAAATCAAGTTTACTAACAAATCTTGCCGAGCCCACTTGATCAACGCAATTTTCCATCCTTGGGAGAGGAAACGCATCAGGTTTAGTGATCTTATTAATTTTTCGATAGTCCGTACAAAACCTTTCCGTTCCATCCGGTTTTTTTACCAGCAAACACGGCGATGGCCAACTCGAACACGAAGGTTTTGCGATGTTATTCTTTAGCATGTACTGAATCTCAGACTCTAATTTAATACGTTTTTCAAAAGGGACACGATAAAAACGCTGGCGTATGGGTGAAGCATCACCCACATCCACGTCATGCTCTATAAGATGCGTTTGTGATGGAACATCCCCAAATAATGATGGAAACTCTCGATCAAATGTGACAGCTCCGCTCGCTGCACAACAGTTAGGTGAGACAACAAATCCTCCAACTCTTTCAAAGTCTCAGAATTTTTTAATCGAGGTGGCACTACAGCATCATCTAAAAACTTACCCCCCTCCCGGTGTCCCGCGGAGGACTGTCCCAGCGCCTCAATCGCCAGACTGATCACCCCAGAGGACTTAATATCAGCTTGACAATCTCGGGAGAAAAAGGGTTTCAGCAGATTTACATGGCAAATTTGTTTTTTTTTCTTTCTGTCTGGAGTTGCAATTTCATAATTAAGATCAGACAATGCACGCACTACAGTATACGGTCCCACAAACTTCGCGCAGAACGGAGAGCTCACTAGTGACAGCAACGCCAAATCCTGATCCCCCGGTTTAAATACGCGCTGCTCAGACCGACGATCAAAAAGAGTTTTCATTTTAATCTGCGCCTTCTCCAAATTTTCTTTAGCTGCCTGACCAGCTAAAATCAAGCACCTTTTAAACCCATTCACATATTCAAGTAAACTTTTTGGTGGTTGTTTGCCTTTTAACTGATCACCGAGAACAGAAAGTATACCTCGAATTTTGTGGCCGAAGACTAAATCATTTGGGCTAAAGCCCAAACAAGATTGCGTGACCTCCCTTGATGCTAACAAAAGCCACGGAACCCCTTCTTCCCAGTCGCGATTTAATTCGACACAATACGCCCGCAAAAGACACTTCAGTTCAGACACTAACAGCAACCAAAACAGTATTCTGGTAGTGATTGCGTTGATTTGGCTTGTTCGGGGCTAATTACTGGGAAATCTCTGTAGACTGAGATGGCATTTCATGCCGTTCAACCTTATAATCTTAAAATGTGAGCAAATACACTTTTTTTTTGTCATCACTTTACACATTACCGCTAAGGAATCATTCAAATACTACCTCTAAAGTGAAGTTAGTACATCTCTGACATCAGCTACGTATGTGAATGGATGGCAGAAGAAAGTAGTTCCTCTTACAAAAGGGTTTTGAGATTCTCTGTGTTTGATTTTCTTTTTGATACACACGATTATGCCGTCAAATTGTTGTATAATTGCAAAATCACACTTGTAGCATTGCTACTCTTGTGATATTGCTAATTTATACAACAGTTCTGGAGTGCGTTTCCTAAAAAACGACGTAACTCGCAGCTAAACTATCATAGTATGATGCATCGTTTGGGGAAATCATGACGTAGTTTCTCTGTCGCAGATACATCGTTTGAGGCTATTTATTAAGAAATTAATATTATTATTTATTATTCATTAAGAAAAAAAAACATGCATTAATAATAATATTAGTAATATTTATGATGATG